ATTACTTGGGACAGAGGCAAAAGCATATGAATGCGATACAATGAGCAAAATGAGCAAATGAAGTGGGAAAATCGGTACCTGTCAACTGGTTTGATATAGGATTGCCATAAAACTTCGATTTTTAGAAAAGCGCATTAGTGAAATACAGTGGATGGACAAAAATATGGAAACACCTTGTGAAATGCATGTTTGAAAAGAAAGATTGATTTTAATGAAATATGTAGGTGGCGCTGGCGTTTTTGACTACTGACGCCACCTGTACAACTTCGTAAATGTGCTAAACAGTTCAGTTGTTGTCGGAGTACTGTTATGTGAGGTTTTCATTGCATTACGTCAGAGTTAACAGACTTCGAACGTGGGCAAACTGTTGGAGCACGTATGTTAGGTGCTTCCGTAAGCAAGGTAGACGAGGTGTTTAGTGTTTCAAGAGGTACTGTATCGAAGATTTATTCCGCATATTTGAAAAGCGGAAAAACATCATCTGCTAAATCACAGCACGGACGAAAGTGTGTCCTGAATGATCGTTACAGACGATCATTAAGGGCAATTGTGACGAAAAATAAGAAGACCACAGTTGCAAAAGTTACTGCTGAAATGAATGTTGTGTTACCGAACCCTGTGAGTACCAAAACAATTAGAAGGGAGCTTCATAAACAGGGAATTGCTGGCCGTGCTGCAACTGAGAAGCCACTCATCAGGGATGCTAATGCCCGTAACAGGAAAAGGTTGTGTTTAAGTCATAAAAGCCTGGACTATAGAGCAGTGGAAGCGAGTAATATGGTCTGACGAGTCTTCTTTCACATTGTTTCGCACTTCTGGCCGATTTTACGTCTGGAGAACGCCATCTCAAGCCTATAATACAGACTGTTGTTGCCAAGAGTGAAACATGGCGGGGTTCTGTTATGGTTTGGGCAGCCATATCGTAGTTCTCTGCTAGCCCCATGATAACTGTGTCAGGGCACATGACTGCCAAGACTCATGTGAACATTTTGGCCGATCAAGTTCATCCCATGGTACAAACTGTGTTCCCCGATGATAATGGTGTCTTCCAAGACGACAAAGCCCCTGTTCACACAGCTCACATTGTCCAGGAGTGGTTTTCGGAGCAAGAGGATGAGTTGTCCCATCTCCCCTGGCCACCACAGTCACCAGACCTGAATATTATCGAACCTTTGTGGTCTACATTGGAACGGAAAGTGCGTTCTCTTTATCCACCGCCAACATCGTTATCTGAAGTTGCTACCGTTTTGCAGGAAGAATGGTATAATATTCCCTTGGCAAACATACAGGAACTGTATTTATCCATTCCGAGAAGACTGCAAGCTGTTTTAGGATGCCAACGGGTTTCCTACACCATATTAAGCAAAGAAACATGTTTTTTTAAAGGTGTTTCCATATTTTTGTCCAACCCCTGTATATATATAACGAAAAGTACTCCTGCATACATATTTTCAAAATTAGCACAAAAATAAATATTCAAGAAGCATTGGTTTTTAAGACTTTGATTAAAAATAACAAAATGAAGAATATGTATATTTATAAAATTGCCTTTTATGTATGATTAACTTTTATCTTCTTAAATTTTAGAAACAATTTAAGAATTTAATATACTTAATATATCATCTTGAAGGTTAACAACCAAATGGAAAATTTTAGTCTCAGATTTTGGCAAGTTTTTCATTCAAAATTAATTATACTTTCATACTAAAATAAAATAATTTTTCAGTGCAGCTTTTCTGAATGATTTCGAAATTATCTAGGGCAATGATTGCTTAATCAGTACTGTCACTTGTAAATTACGTGATTTTGAGAAGAAGTTGACTTATTTTGGACTATTATGTAATTAACTTCGGTTACTATATTATTCCATTCAAATATACTTTACACATAATTTAGAACTATTTCTCCAAATATTTATTCAGTGCCCTCCTTTATTCTATTAAATAAGAAACATGAAAATTTAATTTTATGCCATTTGTAAACAATCATACTACTTTCCTTTTCAAGAGTTTTTTTAAGGCAAATTCAGTTAAAAGACTTCAACTATGTAACTTTTAAATTACTATGAAATATGCTGAGTGCATTGGCAATTAATGATCTTTTGGTTGTTCAGAGATATGAGAATATTTTTAGAAATTTATAAGAGAAATACGCCAAAATAAAGTGTAAATTTAAGGGAGAGGGCATTAGGCTGGGATACAATTGAAACTGGCTGACGAAAAATTAGATAAATCTTAGCTTAATAAAGTTCACCGGCGGCTTAACACTAAAGTCTCTAAACACTGATAACTCGATTCAAATTCAGGGTAACGGCTGTCTGCGTGCTTGTTTTCGGGGTTTTACCCATATGTAACGCGAATGCGACTACAGGGGGGGGGGGAAGAAAAATTATAATTTAGTGCTCAAATTCAGCTGGACCCTACCTCCGCTACTTCTTGGCTTTTAAATGAAACTGAATTCCCAGCCGAAGTCACAAATAAAATGAGTACTGGTATACTATTTAATTATATAACTATTTGCCACTAATTCGAATTGTTAAGTGCCCACCAGCGGCCGAGCGGTAAAATCGCTGAACACTGGTAGTTCGGTCGGAGGTTCTAATCCTGTGAACGGGCTGGCTGCATGGGCGTTTTCGTGGTTTTCCCTATGTGTAACGTGTATACGAGCCAGTTTCCCTTAGAACGTCCTCCACGAAGGCATCCCTCCTCTTAGGCAGATAGCCCTCGAGGGCTTTGCCATAATCACACACACACTCGAATTATTAAGTAGTTTTTTATTTGTCCCTTTAAATTTGGTTCAGTTTCAACTATTATTTTTTTATTTTATTTATTTATTCATCTTTCTTGACAGCCTTCCACAGGCTTCGGCACTGCAAATTTTAAAAATTAAGCCCTGTATATACTCTTTCAATACATTTCACTGTATTTTTCTTTCTTTTTTTATAAACAAATTATTAAAGCTCCATATTTCTTCTGTAATAACCCCTTACTGCAAAGGGAAAACAAAATCGGACATGAACTTTTCCTTTTATTATTCAAAATACGGAATTCAGTTCTCCACATATGAATATTCCAATTTTCATAAATTTTTATTAATTATTGCGATAATTAAAATAGAGGAAATACACTTTACAAATAATCTTTACAAAAACGCTAATATAAATTTAATTGAAAATTTTCTTAATTCACAATATAGACATGAATAAAATTTCTGCTGATAATTAATATCTGCGGAAACTTCCTAATAGACAAACGAAAAATGTTTCATTTAATTTTTATGCCTGTTCATATTTAGCACAGTGTGTTTCATGGTAATTCTTTCTGTTCATACTCATCCAGAATTAAACTCAAAATATCTGTCTTTTATATTTCAAATGATAGTATAAATCTAATTTTATTCGTAAACGGCCGAAATTTTAAATGTATTTCTTCTTTGGAAAAACTCTAAATAATTATTTCACGTCGTCTTTTTTTTTAAAAATGTTTGTATTAAAGTAAAATACCTTTCTCTTAAAATATCAGAAGGATTTCAATTAAAATGAGGAATATTAATTACTAGATTAAAATTCCACAGCACTCACCATTGACGAAGTGTTAAAAAACTACAAGAGTAGCATAAAGCACAATTTCATTCGAATGAAATTATTTTCAACGCAAATTTTAAAACTAGGGCTAAACTTTAAGCATAACTAACTGCAAACCTGCTAGTATAATTTTTGCAGAAGTTAATATTTTGATACAATTTGATACTTATCCTCGATATACGACAGGGGGATATAAGCATGTAATTTCAGGAAAAGTTGGATTATGTTTAAAAAAATGAGTTAACTCTTTATGTAAATTTAATATGTAGCTTAACTCATCTATTTAAGGCAGTAAAAAGGCAAATTTACTGTCTCTAAGTTTTGTAGTTTAATCTCTGGTTTTAATTGGGTTTGTTCGCTCATCTAAAATTAGATGTTCAACAGCGTACATCTTTCTCCTCATATCTGCTGCAATTTCAGTTTCCTCAGTTTACTGCAGCTTAAAATGTTTTGAAAACTACTGAAGGAATGGCTCAAATGTGATCAGACCCGTATTATAAGTAACATAGCAGCTTACACATACCCATTTTTGGTTTCAACAGCATCCTATGCAATAAGCCCAAAGCGATTCAAACCTATGTTTCATCACTTACTGTAGTGCTTTTAAATGTACTTTACTTTAGCGTTTTAATATAACAATATAATGTAATGATACCTTGAACATGTTGTAGAAAGCGTGCACAGAAGATCTTTCATTGCTTTATCGTCTCTTGAGGATAAGACTGAAACACCAGAATCGCTCCTTTTATACCGACAAAAGAAAAAGAATACCGAAAATACTAATATATACCTTATAGCATATTTATTCATTCAATTCCAATTAAACATTATGCCTATTCAGGCACCCACGAACATCGCATTTATTAAGTGTTAACTGCAGTTTCATGTAATCGCGATGTTCGGGCATATTCCCCGAGGATAGAGTGGCACTATTAGTTATAACAGATAGAACAAGTATTTAATTGCATGTAGGAATGTAGTTAGCAAAGCAAAATTTCTATATAAAATCTAAATAAATAAGTATCGCCATAAATTATTCTAATGTATTTTTCGAAATAGTTTTCTACATACAGGTGTGGATTCTTTAACATTCCTTTCCACGATAGAAATAAATCTTACAAAGAAACGTTGTAGAGACATTAGGATTTTTTTTTAGCAGGAGAGATGAAAAAAGAACAATGCCCTCGCCGGGACTCGAACCGAATTCGCGTCGAGCGTGCTGACCACTACACTACGAAGGCATGCTAAGAAGACGGGAGAAATACCTTATAACGTGACCTTTAATTCTTGCATGCAGTACCTTGACTATGTGCTAGTATTTCATATATGTATTTTGAAGTGTAATTCCTTGCACTTGTAAATGTTTATAGTCTTTTTGTTGGAAATTAAAGGCTAAATTTGTTTTCTCTCCATACAGATACGGCCTTGAATGGTACTAAACCGGAAGAACAAGAAGTGCCGGAGGTAAAAAACATACGCTACTGGGCAAATAAAAGTGAGTTTTTTTTTTTTAAATTTATATTATCAAAATGCTATGCACATTATTAAGAATGCACTTTTTTAAAGCCAAATGGGAGTTGGCACAGAAGGTCTATTAATTTCGGTTTGGCATTTTGCGTTGGTTCACTATAAACGGCGAATCACTTTTTAAATTGTTGCCACCAAATGTTAGAGCACTGTATTATGTTTAAAAAAATTAAATAATGAAGAATCTGTATAAATGTATGTATGTTTCTCGCATTGTGATAAGACAAGCTCTCGTGAGAGCCATCAAAATTTTAGAGCCATCAAATGTTGAATAATATACGCCTCCACCCGAATATGGGCGTCTGCAAGCCGAAATTTGGAATGTGATTTATTTCCAAATTTGAAAAATATCATATTTTGTAAAGCATTTATGAGTTTTTGACTAATAACCTCAATGATTTCAAAGCGCGAAATGGCAACACTGTACGGGAAAAAAAACATTTTTATCTTCAGCGCGCGAGACTGTGTATCGGAAATTCTAAAGATATGATGTTTTAAATATTTTGTGATATTTCTGTTGAGTTGAATTTTATGGTTTAAGTGCGAAGAACATGATATTTAATAAATAAAGGTAACACGCAAAACGTTAAAAAAAAAAGGCCTCTTTGGGCGTAATGTAAAATCTGAAAGCTTTGAAATTTTTCTTTAATTTATTATTTTTTTAAATTTTTTTAAACTTTATATGTTATGACGAATTGTTACTTCCTGAATTCATTTCTCAACGGCTTATTTCTAAGGTTTTAAAAGTCTTTTTCTCTTCCATGTGGTTTTGTATTAATCAATAAAAACCCGCTGTTTTACCTGACATATTAGTTTAAGCATCTTAAAACGTGGAAGTTTAAACGTCTTGTATATGTGATCCGCTTCTTATCAAATAAAGCTGCAATAATTTGATGCTGTTCTTTTTTCTAATTGCTAAATACAATTTAAGTAATAAAAAAATCTCTTTGATGTTAAATAAACTGTAAGAAAAACCCGTAACGTTATCAATTTTTTATATATATAATTTGTAAGAGGCTTCAAAGTAAAGCGTATGCTGAAATGAAGCTAGTTAATAGTGCAACATTTTAGCCTAACGTTTAATGTGTAAATGATATTGAATATGGTTGACTATTATTAACAGAAATTCTTTGACGTTAAATCTTTTAAAAAGAAAACTTACTGTTTAAGGTTTTCAATATAGTCGCTACGAAATAGTAGAATCCGGGTTTTGTTACCTGATAAAATAGAAATGCAAAGAGAGAAAAATTTTAATTTCGTGGTCACGAAATTCCACGATGTTTACGAAATTTCAGATCATGTTTCAGTGAGACCAAATCCGATCAAAATCATAAGTTAGGTAATTTCTTGTTTTTAGATAAGCCGAATCTGAACTAAAAAAAATTATGTTGCTAAAATGAATGCTTTTGTTACCATGAAAATATGAAACTTTAGACATATAGAAATATTTTTTTCTAAACATGTTAAGAATATTTTATACAAAAGTGTATAAAGTTTTCCATAAGTTTGTATAAAAAATTTATATTCTTTAGAGACAAGTGAATCGTAAGTAAATTCATCAATACTCAGTTCAGTAGTTGGTTTGATTATGTACAGCTAGAAAAATTTCTTCTGATATAAATCTCCGTATAAAAGAATAAATATTTTATAAACCTCCGCGGAATTTAAGAGATATTCGAAACATCACTCAATCAGATTACTTGTTTGAAAATAATTTAAATCTGTTCTGGAGGGTTATAGTGGTAAAGTCATAATTTTATAAATTTTTTAATTTGCTATTTATCAGATACGATTTTAGTAAATTCAAAAGTTAAATGGAAGCTTCTAACATTCTATTAATTTGACTTCGAGATATACTTTAACAATAAATGATATCTACGCTAGTAAATGGACGATACTTATTAAAATATTTTAGAGGTATTAATAACGCTTTCTGTGTTTTGAATAATTACTGGCCTGGCCGCCAGCGGTGCATTTTATCTCACACTGATAATTAGAGAATTATTAAACAGTCTTCAATTTTATATGAACTTAATTCTTAGAATTTAAAGTAATTAGAATTTAATGTAAAGACCTTGTAATGAGTGCTATAGTTTAAGGTTTAATGAGCTAACATAGCTTAAAATTCACATTTCATTCAACTTCATGACACAAATGAAAATTCATATAGGCATATATGTTTAAAGCAATTGGTTTTAAATTATTACAGTTTAAATCATTATGCTACGGATAATAACCTGATTTTAAGAATTACAAAAAAGTATTTGAACGAAATTAGTAGGTAGGTTTTGAATATAACTTAGACCTACTTTGTAATTGCTGTAATCAATTCATTAGAAAATTAACAAAGAAGTGTACGAATAAAAAGAGAGTTATAACGGGTAAGCATTGATAATAAAATAAGTATTAGCTCCAAATTATTTGAAATAATTTACTACTATAGACTGCCGTGCATTGCTACGAGCCTTCTCCACCCGCTGATTAAAAATTTTGCCGTACGTTCGTTCTATGTTTTTCTCTCACCTAGTGTCACGCTGACGATTGCTTTCCTCGTAACCATATGATTCTCATTGTTGTGTCACTAATATTATCAATCGTTATCGTAATTGCAATTGATCAAAGTGTACAGCCTAAGTTTCACTTTTACTCTGACTAAATAAAGGAAGATTATACGTAACAGTTTCTTTTAATGTAAATGGCTGGATGGTTTTAATCTCAAGTTATATTTTAAATTACTTCTCTTTAGATTATTACTATTATTATTATTTTGAATTTTAACTTTTAGTGATTTTGAAAGTAACGTAAAACATTTTACATGATTTCCTTTTTTTCCCCCAGTCAGTCACGTTTTTAAAAAAGTTCGACATCCAAAGAAGAGAAGAAGGAGCAGCTTCGGTTCCCTCTTTTCTTCCATTGGTAAGTATCTTCACTGAAGTACTGAAAAAATGCAAATGCATAAGTGCAAATTTTTATGATGTTTATTTCTAAATGTAATTTTCAGTTCTACATCTTGGTCTAAATGGAAAAGAAAAGTTCCAGTACATTAAGCTATATATTAGAGAAAAATAAAAGCAAATTATTGAAGTCTTCATACTTTGGTATATAAAAAAGAGTAATTATATTTTTGCAGTACAATGTATGTATAGTGTCTAGAAAGTTTGGTGAATGATCTTATACCTTATAATGTTCCAACCTAAGAATTTACAGCTAAATGTGTGGAACCTTATAAAAACTGGTAAGCGAATAATAGCTTAGTTCAGAAAGATAGAAACCTAAACGTACGAAGGGTTAATTACCCTTTATTATTCAAAATAAATTTAACAGTTGACTTCTTCTTGGAGTTTATAGCAAAGCCTCCTCTTGGGCTTGAACTCAGGAATACTAAGAAATAAAACTTAACTAAAAGGATATAGTCGAAGCAATCAATATTCTACAAGTGTTGGCCCCTTAACGCTAAATAAACGGCGAAGCTATTAAGGGCCTAAAGTACGGAAGAGCGTAGAAATACCTTTAGAGAGAGTATAGCCAAAAGGGGAACGCGCGCTGGTCAGAATCTCTGGCTCTCTAACGAAGTCAGTAGAACTTCAAAGTTAAATATTTTCTCCTTTTGCATTTAACCGCGATACTTTCTCCCATTTGCATTTAACCGCGATTCTGAAACCACGTTCTAGCAGGAAATTGTAAGCTGAAATTAGGAGAGATAGGATAGTGGCTTTAACTAAAAATAACTGTTGGCAACTTAGGATAAACTTCACAACCTTAATAGAAACATAGGTCAGGTACCCGCACATTATGCAGAGACTTGTCGAGGAGCGCCACGTGGCTGTGAGGGTATACCCGCTGAGGGCAGTCGAACGTAGTCAGTGTGAGAAATAAAGGGATAATGCGCAGGAGCAAAGAGTAAATACCAAGCATTTTAAAAATTAGGGTGGAACGGCAGTAGAGAATGTGTTTATGACTGGTACGAAAGATTTCGTGGCGAGAATGAAAGGACTTAGGAGAGATGTGCTTGAGTTGGTTGTCAAGAAGCAGAATCTTAAGTATGGTAGAGACAGTGCGACGGATGCTGGAACCAGATGCTGGCAATTGATTCTACAGTTGACGCAAGAGAACGTGTACGCTAGTAAGCACACATAAAGCACCATCATCCACAATCATTTAGGTAAGCGGGAGATCTATTCCTGGTATTCGCTTTACAAGTTGAAGAACGGGCTGATCATGAAGCAAAACGAATGGAAACTTCTGGAGATTATATTACTATGTGTGACCCAAATTCCTCTTTTCTACTACCCATCTGTCTACCATCAAGGGATGAGACCTGGTACTATCCGTTCAATCCAAAATCCATGGAGCTATCGATTGAATATAGTTAGTTCTCCATCTTTCTCTCTATCCAAAGAAGTTGCCTGCTAAAATCAAAACTTATGATATTTTGATTGCCTTCTTCGATAACAATGACAATTTTCCTGAGAAATTCGTTCTTGCGGGACAAATCCTGAAAGCCGCATTTTACGAGGAAGTTTTGACACAGTTGCTGTGTCGCATTTGTTGTTTTCGACCAGTGTTGCCCTGGTCAGAATAATAGGTTTTGCTATATGATAACGCATCTGCGTATGTCCGATCTGTGTGCTCCAATTCTTAGCTCAACGCGAAATGCCTGTTCATCATCTACTTTACGCCCCTGAGTGATATTTTGTTTCGATTATTTAATGATTTTGTTCACCTAACGTTTTAGACATTCCTCTTAATTTGCAATTAAAATGACAGAATATTGTACTTAGAATGTTATAATGTTTAATACTTGAATATTCATATAAATTTAAGTATTTTAAAATGTGAAAAAATTACATGTACAGGCTTACATGAAATGCAGATAGTACGTTCATCTAGGTACTTAAAATTTATCTTAGGATAAATTATTACATCAACTCAGATTATTAACTTTGTTGTTTCCATAATGCAGCATTCGCCAATGTATTTGTAACAGGTGTAAATGCATTCAATTTTATAAATTTTCTGACGACAAGATTTTGATAATTTTTCGGTTATGTTCCAGAACATTAAGTCTTCGGATGTTTTTCAATAGATATGATATGCCAGAGCATGAATGAAATAAATTTTATCATATATATGTTAAGAGAAAACATGGCTTTAACATTAGCAAAGATGTAAAACGTTATTGAGCTAGAAGGGAAATTAAGGAATAATTTGGGAAAATAACGGGAATATTTTGAATGTACCTATAAGACAAAATCAAACTTTCACATAACATTGCATTGGTATCAAAAGACTAAATTCTGAAAGCATGCTAATTAACGCATTAAAGAAGATTGATGTATCCTAACAGCTCCGTGGAATATCAATTAAATTAAAACTAGCACGCCATAAATGTAACCGATGCACTACATACAAGTCGCAAAGCAAATTTTAGTTAGCCTAAAAACGCACCATTCAAATCGTAAGAAGAATTTATGTATTCAGAATTTTGCACGTAGTGAGATTCTTTTTTACTCTGAAGTGGCCTTATGCCATTTCATAGTTAAAGAATGCCAAAATGGCGGATCATACAGTATCGGTTGTAGTGCTGAAATTCTCTTTTCCAAGAGCTAAAGTGTTAAGAATGAGTAGTATACTTATGGCATTTCCATTCATGGAAATCTGCAAACGGTCCAGACATGTAATGGTGATTCACCGAACTTTCGCTGGCTATCATGAATGTAATGGCCAACAGGAGAGGTACATCGCATAAAATCGCATACGTAAAGCTTTAAAATATTACCAAAATGTGCATTGCCAAAACTTTTAAAGTATACATTTTCTTATTATATACTCATTGCATTGTCTTCCTGTAATTACGGATTAATTTAAATTTGCCAGTTAATTATTTAAAATAATTATATATGTAAATTAGTACTATAACAAAACGTTTAGGAAAATTGCTTTCAAGAGTTGACTAAATATAATAAAACAGAGTTGCGTTTGTATCCCGGATATATTTTTTCGGCGCTACTGTCTATCGTTTTTTGGTGCTGTCGCTCGTGGGCGTCACATAGTTTGATTTTTCTGAAGGTTAGTATGCGGGGAGGACGGTATCTGCTTACCAGTGGTAAATTTCAAGCTCTTTCCCATATTGCTACCTGTACCGTTCTTTCATATTTCACTGCAAGCTAAATATAACAAAACGTCTTTGAGATAACTGTATTCGTCGAGCGTTTTTCTTCGAATATGGTAGCCGAAGCTTTCTCGTATCCAACTACTAACGCATCTTTGCGGATTACCGACTTCGATGGTCCTAACGATATTGAAATTGGAGGGCAGAATAGTGAAGTCAGCTAGCACGTATAGATAAATTATGTGATACTAAAGTGTGCATGAAAGTGTGAAGTAGATCTCATGGGGATATTTTGCCATTATTTTCACAGAAGTGATGAAATTATTTCTTTACTTTAAAGCAGGCATGCCGTAGGACGCCTACTTTATTTTCACACCGATAATTTGGACAATGGCGTTTTTACATCTCAGGTTTTAGTTGTTACATCCTTTTCCACCATAAAAATGTATTTGGCCATCAAACAATTTTCACATTTCCGTTAGCGATGTTTTCAACGTAAATCTACAGATAGCAAGATACACTTTTATTTGACTACAGTTTTTATTTTCAAGGGAATTATTACATATTTTCAGAATGAGTGTCTGATAAAGAAAATGCATAAGCCCATTTGGGTTACATATTATCTACAATTTTTTGAGTTCGTATTAAGTATTTTCTAGGACAGTCATTATCATGCATACTATGCATTTCTATGACAATCATAATACTCATGCAGCAGTTACATGGCAAAGCAACCTCCACTCATGTTTTTCTCAGAATGATTCGCAAGTAAAATATTTATTTTTATTTAGGTAAATCAAGGAATAAGTGGTTACAACAGCTGAGCATTGGTAGTTCGAACCCCAGAGAAGAGACTGGCTGCTTGGGAGGGGGGGGGTTGGAGTTTTACTCCATGTGACTCAGAGACAGTTTCCTTAAAAATAGTGCAAGAGGCAGATGTCATTAGTGAGCTTTTCACAGTTAAATGATCCAGGCCTAGATTAGGACAAAAATAATTCTTGTCCAGACTTTCTTATCTTATCTAATCATTATTTCCTACCTTGTTCATTTGCGGTTTTGCAGCTGAGGCTGGTGGTTCGGTAAAACCATCGAAACTAGTCCTGTGAAAATTTTGTAAGTATAACGCTGATTTTTGTTGTTTGACTTCTGAATTAGCATGTTTAGTTTTTTAAGACCCTCATTTTTCAAAGAAATCTTCCAGATTTTTTTAGGGTATAAAAGGAATTGTTTGAAAAGAAATTTATATGTTATTTTTTTGGCTGCATACTAATTTCTTTATTCTATATTAGTTTTAAATTTTTACCTTGAAATCTTGCCTAAAATCAAACGGCGAACCCTAGGTGTGCCAGACCGGGCTCACCGATAATCTAGGACAACTGAGAGTCTGTATTCTTTGTTTCTCCGCATCTCATCGGTCAGTTCATTGACAACAATGCTCGTTTCAGCACTCTTTTCGAAGCTCTATTCAACCAGTGTGCCACTTTGGGCACACCCACAGAATTAAAACGATAAGTGCTATCTTGACAAAATTTTTCTTGTGTACTCCTCTAGGCCTAATTAGACTGCCTACCTTTTTTTTTTAAATCAAAACTCCGACTTTAAAAGGTAGCGTGCCGGAAAGGGTTACAGGTACGCTCTATTTAGCAGAATACATTATTCTAATAAGTATCTTGTCTTTCTACTGCATAATAAATGAGGAAATATTGAAATGAGAGCAAGCAAATAAAAAATATATGTTAATACGATACTTTTATATGATCAGAAAGCCAAAGGAAGCTCTAATGAAATAACGCATTAAATATGC